CGCCAAGGTCGCTTGCAACGGACACTTACCTTCTTTGGAATATCGCGCATTGAAGACTACGGATCCACCCAAATCGACGCGATCCAACGGCTCTATCCCACTAAGGTAAGTTTTGATTCATTTTAATTATTTTTGATACTAACAATTCCTTATTTGAAATTGTCATGTTATTTCTTTCCTTAAGTAGCGTAGGNCATTTGTTTCGCCNATTGTGTTTTAATTAGCTAGATATCGATCTTTGTAATAAATGTCAAGACCNCTAGAANGGCATAGCTGATCNGACGAGTATATAAGTCCCCTAANAGCCTTGTAAATTTTCACCCTTGATCAATAAAGCAAAAGCATTCTTCTTAAAGAATTTTTCTTGAACAACTTTCGAAATCCGAGATTTCTAGTTGTTCTCCCGTCAGTATCGAGCTGTTTCCATCCGGCTCGTGGTGACCTTCGATCCATCTTCACTTCCACTCGTTCATCTCTTTATCCGTAGTGAAAGCGCCGTACAGCCAGCACTCGGATCCGTTCATCACTTTGCTTCCATCGCCCATCGCTACCCGACTCGCAACAGATGCCGTACGGCCGGTTCGAGCCATCCACCCTCCACGTAATCTTCGTTTGTGAGGCTGCATCATCTGGTATCAGAGTTTTAAAGCTCCTAACTATCATGTTTTATCTATCCGTAATCTTGTTTCAACTTCATTTCAAAAAAAAAAAAAAGTGTTCTTTGTTTTTTTCTCTATTTGATTCGCATTTCATTTTAAAAAAAAAAGGTGTTCTTTGCTTCTCATCTGTTTGATTCGCATCTCATTTCAAAAAAAAAAAAAATTTCATTAATTATCCATTTATTTCATTCCAACGGCTCCTTTCCTTAATCGATCATTCGCATTAGATCATTTTCCTTGAATAGGTTTCGCATTATTTGCTTGCTTTTTTTAGAACACATTCATACACTTTGTCATCTTTTTGCAGGTACTTAACCGGACCAATGGGAGACACAGCCGAGCCAACCTTGGCCCAACTCATGGCCGCAATCCAAGGCCTTACCAACCGTATGACCCAGCTTGAGAACCAACAGAACCTAGAGACCGAGAGCACGACCGAAAGTAGTACCGATCCGGTTCGCGCCAACCCTAACCAGAACGGTCGCAACGGCAACGGACAAGCCCGTGATCAAAACGAACCACGCCAAAACCGCGACGGCCCACACAACGGCCCAAGACGAGGCCCGAACCGAGAAGAAGACGAGCCATGGCACGGTGGGAAGAGTTTGAAGTTGGTT